GTGATTTACAACTTCCCACAATGCTCTGTCGGGTGTGGGGGGCCCTTGGGGTTGGGGACTCAACCTTTGGGAGAAGAATTACCTATTTAAATACGCAAATTCAACCTTCAATTATCTATGCATTAACAATTTTAATATAATCTTGCCTTAATATACTTTAAAGTACTTATTTAAAAAAAAAAAACAATGGGCATTATCCCAATCGTGCAATGCGCGTAAAAAACTAGTATAGTATAGATTGTGCAAAGAGAATTGTATTACACTATTTTATAATTTTAGAATAGAATTTTTACCCAGATTTATTGTACGAATGGGAAAGTAGAAATCAATATATTTTATTGGGAATAGAGATTATTTAGGAATTGGGCGGGAAGTTAAAATTTCAGGATTTTGTTATTATATATAGTATAGATAGATAGATTGTGCAAAGGGAATTGTATTACACTATTTTATAATTTTAGAATAGAATTTTTACCCAGATTTATTGTAAGAATGGGAAAGTAGAAATCAATATATTTTATTGGGAATAGAGATTGTTTAGGAATTGGGCGGGAAGTTAAAATTTTAGGATTTTGTTATTATATATAGTATAGAAGTATAGATAGATTGTGCAAAGGGAATTGTATTACACTATTATATAATTTTAGAATAGAATTTTTACCCAGAATTATTGTACGAATGGGAAAATAGAAATCAATATATTTTATTGGGAATATAGATTATTTAGGAATTGGGCGGGAAGTTAAAATTTCAGGATTTTGTTATTATATATAGTATAGATAGTATAGATTGTGCAAAGGGAATTGTATCACACTATTTCATAACCTTAACTTATTATGTATTATTTTGCATGAATCATATTACCATTATATTTAATTACCCTAAAAATGGTAATGGGATTAAATAATAAAAATGTATTATTTTGCACGAATCTTATTACCAGTATTATTATATTATAACATGAGTTAATAACCAAAATAGTCAGTTGATTATAGCAAAATTATCAATTTAGTCCTTAACTATTATTATTGTCTAATTAAGTCCTCAACTATGAAAACCTTACTCAATTTAGTTCAGCATCAAAATTCCACCCATAAGCGGTTAAATTTGAAGGTAAAAAGATAATTTCAGTCGTTATTTATTAAACTTTTCCTTTTTCGCATCCGGAGCCTGTGCCAACATGCACGCACACCTTTAATTTGTTCTTCGATAAATTAGCATTGTCGCTAGACCAAAGGAAGAACATCTATCGACAGAAGCATCATCGTGACTGGAGCAACGACAATCACCAACCTCCATCGTCGCTTCCACCCCTTGATGAGCTTCAACATGTATGTAAGAATTCCATCTTGAGCTCTCGACAGATCGCTGGAGGTGACGCACATAATCAGGGACTCAGGGTGAACAGGGTCTTCATAGCCCGGAGGCTATCGCATGAAGACAGTTTCTGACAAGTGCCCATTCAGGAAGGCATTGTGGATATCTAGTTGACGAAGAGTCCATCCCTGCGAGACTGCAAGACAAAGCAACATGCGTATTGTAGTCGGTTTGACTACATGACTAAAAGTATCAAAGAAGTCCTCGCCGGCTACCTGATTGAACCCTTTGGCAACCAAGCGAGCTTTATACCGTTCAACAGACCCATCAGCTTACGCTTGGTGCGATATACCCATTTGCAGCCGATGATATTCATACCAGGTTTGGCTGGGGTGAGGCACCATGTGTTTTTGTGTAAGAGGGCGTTGAATTCTTGATCCATGGCGTCATGCCATTGGGGATGTCCAATCGCCTAGGTGTAGCAAGTGGGATCCACAGAGGTTGTTAGAGCATAAAACTGCTCGCCTGTCCCTCGTGTCATGTGGTGTAAGCGCATGACGTGGCCCCGGTCATGTGGCTGAGCCCGGGCGCCACATCGTGTTCCCGGGACAGCTGTAGGTTGGTCCTGGATAGCCAACGGTTGCTCCTGGACCGCTAAAGGAACCTCATTGAGTGGCGGAGTAGGTGGTTCATACGAGATTATAGATCCAGAAGCCCATGGGACTTGTGGTTGCAAAACATGAGTGGTCACTTGGTCTTGTGGGCCTGTAGCAAAAGGAAAGACAGATTCGTCAAACCAGACATGCCTACAGATAAAGGTCTTTCCAGTGATTGGGTCCATGCATCGGTAACCCCTATAGGATGTAGGATAGCCTAGGAAGACACATGGTGCAGAGCGGTATTCTATCTTATGGCGATTGTAGGGTCGTAGATAGGGATAACACATGCACCCAAACACACGGAAGAAAGTGTATGGTGGAGATTTTTGGTAGACAGACTCATAGGGACTGATAAAATTCAATGTTGAAGAGGGTAGACAATTAATGAGATACGTGGCAGTCTCAAACGCATAATCCCAATATTTCAAGGGAACTAAACTTTCAGCTAATAGAGCCAAACCGGTTTCGGCGATGTGTCAGTTTCGGCGCTCAACACGGCCGTTTTGCTCATGTGTATAGGCACAAGATTGCTTATGCACAATGCCAAGTGATTGGAAAATGGTATGCAAACGACGGTATTCACCCCCTAGATCGGGCTGTATAGACTTGATAGAACGCAAAAATTGACGTTCTACCATCACACGAAAAGACTCAAAAGTTTTATAAATGTCTGATTTTAACCGTAAGGGATAAAACCAGCAAAAACGTGAATGATGCTTCACAAACAGGACAAAATAACGAAAACCCCCGGTAGAAACAACGAGTGTCGGGCCCCAAATGTCCGTGTACAATAAATCTAGTACATTATTACTAGAAGAAATAACCCTATTTAATGGGAAACGGGACGACTTCCCAAGCTGGCACGAAGAACACAACTGAGACGAACTTGATTTTTGTGGAGTGACCGGACAATTCTGTAAGACACGGTTCTGTACTCGCGCATGAGGGTAGCCAAGCCTACGATGCCAAATATCTGACGACGCACGAGCACTTATGTACGCAACACGTGACCGAGACAATGATAACTTGTACAATCTCCCCGTGCTAGGACCCTTAAGGAACACTGCTTTGGTTTGACAATCCTTCACAACAAAATGATCACGGTGAAATTCAAAGAATACGTTGTTATCGGCAGTAAAACAATTAACAGATAATAAGGGAATTGAAAGATCAGGTACATGCAAAATATTAGATAAACGGAGCGGTCTAGACACGAAATACAATGACGCATGACCAATACTGGAAATTCCTAAATCTAACCCGTTGCCCACACGCAAAACATCACCGCTGGTGTAGGATTCAGAATGAGCCATCATCGCCGGGTCCGACGTGGCATGGGATGACGCCCCGGTGTCCGGGAACCACGCATCCGCGTGACTGCCACCTCCTCGCCGGGAACTGCCGCATGGGCCTGCGGCGGCGGATGGCTGGAATAGCGCTTGTGGCAGTAAACCGCCGTGTGACCGTGCGATCTGCAAATCTGGCAGCGGGGAACTCCACCGCCGCGTCCTCTACCCTGGCCGCCGCGTCCATGTCCTCTACCCTAACCGAAGCCACCGCCACGCCCGCCACCTCCGGACTCGTGGTTCTTTTTGTAGCCTCGGCCGGCTGTCATCGCCGTATGGGAGCCACTGGCGAGAGCGAACTAGTCTGCCCATATGAACTCCTGTGCTTGGAGGAAATCTGAGAGCTGAGGGATGGAGACCGGTGTTCCGGCTGCTGCAAGGGAGGACGCCACGGCATGAAACTCCGGGTGGAGGTCGCGGAACACGTACACATTTTGTTCATCTAACGAGACTGGGCGGTCGGCCACGCTAGATCCTCCACCAAGAGTTGGCTCGGCCGAGGTATTCACCGGGGTGGTGTCATCTTGCCAGAGAGACTAGAACTGAGCGAGGAGGTTCAGACACCGTGCCCGCGTCGACGACTACAGAGCCGTCGTGATGGAGGTCCATACCTTGCTGGAGGTGCTAAGGCCGACGACGAGGTATATGACCTCGTCGGACAAGGATGAGATGAGCAGCGAAATGATCGATTTGATCCTATTGAACCCATAGGGTATACGCCGAATTCGCCGTGGTGGTTGAAGCTGTGCCGCCTCACTGGTGGCCGGAGTGGTGACCACCACCGGAAGGCACGGGGTGTCACTGCCTACGTAGCCCAACAAGCCTTGCCCACGAAGGAATGGGATCAGCTGTGTGCGCCAGAATAGGAAATTTTTTGTGGTAAGTTTCATCGACACAAAATGGTATGCCATGGACAGGGTATTCGGGGTGGCCGGTGACGTTACGGTGGCGGCGGTGATCGTTCGTTCGCTGGAGTTAGCAGACATGGTTGGGGGGTGGGGAGAGAGAGAGAGAGAGAGAGAGAGAGAGAGAGAGAGAGAGAGAGAGAGAGAGAGAGAGAGAGAGAGAGAGAGAGAGAAAGGATCACCTGAGCTAACTGATACCAGATGAGTGAATGTTTTGCGTTGATTGTCAATCTCAGAGATTACAGATATACAATAGATACCAAAGACTAGCCTAACTATCCCTATACATTAGCTAGTAGTTGTAGACTAAATCAAAAGCTATCTACACACTAATATAATGTTACAATTAAATGTACAAGGGATAATATGACTAACACCTAAGTCAAGACCAATAGACATAATTAAGTCTTTCAATTGTACGTTAAGTCTTCTGCGAGTTTAAAAATATTTGGCTGTTCTACTGCGATTTAATTATGGTCTATTGGTCTTGACTTAGGTGTTAGTCATATTATCCCTTGTACATTTAATTGTAACATTATATTAGTGTGTAGATAGCTTTTGATTTAGTCTACAACTACTAGCTAATGTATAGGGATAGCAATTGTAAGTGCGGCATGAAGAATTGCTTATGGTTCACGGTGCGAAATGACACTTTAGCATTATTATTATTATTATTATTATTATGAATTCAAAATAGGGTTTTACCAGCAAGCAACTATGTTCAGTGTTCATTGCCAATTAACCCCAAGATGCATCTAGTTAAGAAATTTTCAAGAGAATAAATATAGCATTATCCATAATTAGTTTTTCCAAAACGTTTCCAAATAGGTTATTGGTACCAAAACCTAAGACACATTAACTCAAATAAACTTTGGCATGTATGCAATAAAAGGTAACCAAAAGTAACAAGTGGTCAGACATCCAGCCTCATCTTGGCACAAAAATATAAATCTCAGCCTAGTTTAGTCATTCAGGGGTTTGCAGTGTATTCTCCAAATAACAATGCCAAACCTTCATATAAGAAACAAATTATGATTGTAACGAGGAGGCAGTTGGAGAGTTGAACACCTGTATTTGATCACGAATTAGAATTATAAGTGAGAGAAGTCTTGATCATCTTCAATGCCGGTGGGCTCCTTCTGCCACTATTGTGAATATCTCTATCTTCATCAAGGGGTGAACTGGCAGGTATAACTTGACTTGTAAAGAGTATTGGGTGTACCAATAAGGCATCATCAAGGTTGCTATTGCAGGCACCTTTCTTATCAGATTATTCATACAGCATGGATTATTGTCTTCGCAAGAATCCCATTGCCTGGTACACATTATTGAGAGTAACATTTGCAACATCTGATGCTTTTCTAGCACCCTTGGCCAAAACTTCATCCAAATAAGTAGTATCTGACATTATTTCCTCATAACGAACCTGCAAATTAGAAAATCAAGTGAATGACGGCTTTATAACGGCAGGGGTTTCAAGAACAAACCGTTCTTTAGGTAATGATTGTTGGAGATTTATATAGATTGGGTACTTAAAACTTCAGACATGGTTACCAGGAACTTAAATAATATTTTGGTTACCAGGAACTTAAATAATATTTTGGTTACCAGCAAATCCTCTCATGTAAATCTACTAGTGAAGGGCTACTGATGAGATGATATAAAATCTGCTGATGAAGATTCCTAATAAGGTCTTCTCATGAAGATTTGCCGGTGCATGTTTACTAATACATCTCTGCTAGACTAGTTTTATTATATTTATTAATATAATAAATTCTTGACCAATTTTACAAATGTTTAATCTGTAATAATTTAATTATTACATTTAAATTATTTTCTTTATGGGAGGTTGGTAATGGAAGTTTTAAAACTTCACCGAACCACCCATGATTTCCATGTTTGAGGATGGTTTTATATTGCCATTGTATGACTATAGTATAAGTTGAAGAAAATTGAGATATTTTCCTAACTTTTCTCCTTTTGTTGAATTATCCCATTGCAACCCAAGTAATTTGTCAACTTTTTGTATCTTACAAGTTTTATCTGAAACTCAGGTTGCTTATAAAGGGCGATTAAAAACTTGTAGGAAAGTGTATCTATACACCACTCAAGTTCTTGATTCTTTTGTTTCCCTGTATTTCCTCTACACCTAGAACAATGATTCAGTACATAGAAACATGTAACTCTGCAACACCAACCTAGTTATACTAAGCAACTGTAAAACAAAAAGTGTTGGTGTGATTCATAAGCTAGCAACTCTAAGATGCAAAAGTATAAACCTGGATAGGATGTAGATGTGCAACTAAAGCATCTGTAAGCAAGGGTTTAAATGTTCCCCAATTCATATTTTGGCATTCCTCTGCAACCTCCTGTAATAAAAATTATTATGAATTACATATTGTAATCAAGCTCCAAGAATGCAAAAGCTGTTTAGGCAATTGGAAAATATACTTTCTAAATCAATTTACCATTGTGAAAGAATATAAGGTAACATGAGCACACAATAAGTTGATTACTGGTATTAGTGGAAGAAAATAAATTCTTTTTCCAATTTAGTTCACCTCCATTTCATCCCAATTGGCCACTTTTAATTGCACAACTTTTGAGGCAACTGGTCAAAAATTAATTCCTAAAACATTATGCAGTTGAAGTAAAACTAGACACCAAACAAGGGAATATGTGGGAAAGAAAGCTGCAAATTGCATCATTTTCAAGAAAACATTCCACAGAAAGTGACTAAAATGAGAACAAGTGCATTTTACAAGGGACTAATATGATTTATTTAAATTTAAAGTTCCAGAGAAAAATAGGCAATTAAATTTTGAGGTATATAGCTGCAGCATATTTAAAAAGCTTGTCCCATCACCTGTTTTGTCTTGCCTGAAACAAGCTGATAAATAGAAAGAAGGTTGTTGCATTCCGGTCTTTCAGGATTGTCAAATTCCAAGCTGAACAACATGAGACAAGTAAAAGGCAGAAGACATTATATAATCCATTTAGGGGGCAAAAAGATTTGTTAATAAATATTTGAAGCAAGTCTAATTTTTTTTTTTCTGGAATTCATTTGACATACAAAATAGGGAATACTAACCCACTTAATGCGTCAGTCTTGCATCGTTTTATCTTATTTGCTATTACCTACAAAAGAAACAATAAGCTAAGCACAAATAAATGAAAATGGGAATTTGGTAATTCAAGTGCTAATATCAATGCCACGAAAAATTTGAATGAACACTTTCAGCTTCTTTCTGTTTCAAGCAGCTTATTTCATTTAAGTAATTACATGAATAATGCATTAAAGGAAAAGATTTGGTTAGACCACGAGGTGCCCTGAGTAGACTCTAATTACAGGAGGCAACATTAAGCCCGTACCATACTACTAATCCCCGTTCACACCGGGCCCGCCCAATTAAGGGGCAAAGTGCTGGCCATATTGGTTTTTCCATACAAGAGGGGGTTTTGAACTCTTGACCTCCCCTTAAGGATGAGAGTGCACGGCCACTCATATCAATCAAGCTGTGGTTAAATTAAAGGAAAAGATAGCATCCAATCATCTGTCAACCAAAGTTGAATGACAACCATTTCTTATTTCTTTAACAGTAATAATTGATTAATGCAGAGAGTATACCAGGATCAGGTACCACCAAACTTATTCAACACATTGTTTGCCATGTTCAAGAATCAAGATTATAACTGTATTATCTAATTTTTATTTTTGGATAAGTTTGCAATGTCCAAACTTATACAACCAGAAATGTTTGGAAAATCCCACAAATGAAAGCTGATAATGAAAACAAAACAATGAAACTCACATCTTTTGGATCAAGCAAGTTGATACGAGATTGATCAGAAGGTGCTGACTTCGACATCTAAGAATAAAATCAATTAATAAATCAGAAATTAAAGTTGTCACTAGATTACTAGAAAATACTATTTAATTCAATACATAAGGTATATAAGACCACTGGGAAAGAATGACCTCCTAAGGTTTTTGAAAATACACCAAAGAGTTTTTAAAATGCTCTCCACTTACAGGTTTAGTTATTGGTATATGCCAAATCATCTATTATTTTCATCTTAGTAGCCATATGGTTACCCCATCTTGTAATTTCACATATAGATAAAATGTTATTTACAGAATGTACACTAGCCTGAGAAGAATACAGTTTTAGAAATACACAATCTTTTCAAGGGTGATGCCTCATCATGCTCACCATGAATCCGAGTGACTTGTAAATGAAAATTTAAACATATCAAGGCTACACTAATACATTTTATAGACCAATCCAAACCCATGTCAACCGAGGAAAGATATTTAGAGCTAAAAAGAAAGTTCAGAATGTATAAATAACAATGCTCTGCCTATACTCTGTTAATGACTTAATGGGTAGTTATCCTGGTTACTATGGAAAATTTAAGACAGTAGAGGAAGTAAGAAGAGTTTATTCAAATTTAAACCTTTGATAAGCCATCAGTAAGAGACATTATTCGAGCTCCAGCAGGTGGAATGAGTGGTTCAGGTACCTACATGGATGAAACTAATCTTGTAATAGTTGTGCCAATTATGAATGCGTTCTATAATAAGGAGAACTAGAAAGTTTAATAAAAAAGAATCTACCTTAAATATTGGACCACCTCGCCTGTTGCACGGGAAAAATCATCAATTTCCAATTACATCCAAGAGAAAAAGTGAACTTTTCAATAAGTGATATATAGATTAATGATTAAAGCCATCTTAAGTTGAATTCAATTTGGTAGGTCAACCAAATGAAACCCAAAAGGTAATAACTATCAAGTGGGACAAAACAAGCCACTATACAAAGCCCAAAATCAGCTCATTAGGTCATTTAATAATTATGTACACAGAACCCACATCAACCTCAAGTCAATTTCTTTTGCATTTCCATTTTATGTCCCACATTTACAATCCCCCACCCCACCCCCGCTCCTTTTTCCCCAGCACATTTGATTTGGCTCAAACCCCTCCTTGCATAACTCCACCTTTCTCCATGTCCATTAAACTCTCTCCCCTCTCCCTCTCCCTTTCTTCCCTTTTTCTTTGCCTTCTCACTTTCTTTTCTGCCATTCCATTTTGTCTCCCTCATAATCATCATACATTCATACACCAGATCTAGTCTTTGCCAGCAGCCAGCCTGCAAGCATGGCCATCCACTGCCAGATCTCTAACTCTTTTTCCCTTAAATATGGTCAGATTTGGTGTTGTGTGGGGTTAAAAGAGATTTGGACCAAATAGAGCCAGATCAGCTAACTTATGCTGATCAAATACATACTATTCAAGCTAAGCTCTGCTTGTGTATTTGTCAAACAGAGCTCAAACATAAGATATTCAGTTTTAGCTCCGCTTGGCTTGTTTAAATCTGTGTTTTTGTTCAAGGATGTGAAGGAATGTGTTTGCTTACCCTCCCAATTTCTTCCACTTTCTTCCTCCATACAAATTGTTAACACGTTCTGCAAGCTCTCGTGTCAATTCAAGATGTTGCTTCTGATCCTCTCCTACAGGGACAAGATCAGACTGCAGATAATGGTTTGAATTATGAGAATCATGTATCTTTAGATATACTCAATATATAAGTTAAGATGAGTCATGAGTGATGTCTTTAGCAACACAATAACACTTCAGCAATTTTTTTTTAATTTTTTTTTTTTTGTGAGAATAAAATAGCAAAAGAAAGAAAGAAAGAAAGAAACTAGTGCAATGGAAAAGATGGACCAATAATCCAATTTGAAATCAACTTTCTGATTCATCCATATAATATAACATATATTCCACGATGTTGCAAGTAGGGAGGCAAATAACCTGGTACAGAAGAATATCAGAAGCCATTAGCACAGGATAGGTTAGAAGGGCAACCCCAACATTTTCATCCCCCTGCACACAAAATAAACTACAATTGTCACAAGAGCTATCTAGAAGAAAAAATCAAACATCAGGAAAAAATAAAATTGTAAGAGCAATTATTTCAATGAATGGAATGTTGCAGCAAATGGATTACAAGCTTCCCAAGCACAAACCAGAGCTGCCCTACATGGCATGAAATACTAGAAAAGATACCACATGTTGGCCACTTTATTGATGTTCAATACCCCTTGGCACAAGTACATGAATCTTCAAATTCAGAAAAAGCATTATGTGCTACATTCCATGTCAATACCTAGATACCACGAAAGAGATTCTAGAGGTGCAAACTTGGATGGTTTTTTTTACAACTGTGGAGCAAATATTAAATAAAAGAAGGAACAGGAACATAAGAAGCAGGAGATTTATTAACTGGAGAAATGTATATGATTGGGTCCTTCAACTATCAGCCCACAGTGGGGGTTTCAGATAAGATTATAAGAAGTCTGTTGGGCATGTTGCCTAGTCCTCTGACTACTTCATCTGAGAGGAAAGAATATCTTCAAGTGCAAATTGCAGTTGACATGCTAATTTCGAGAAGGTTACTGAGTTTAATACAATTTTTGGGCCTAGAGCTTTTGTTTCAACTGTCATGCAGTCTGTTGGGCCAGATTTTTTGTTTTAACTGTCATGCAGTGTGGAGAAGAATTTCTAAACCAATAATACAGTTCATTGTATACATGCAAATATATTAATATTTTAGATAAAAGGGCATAATATAATCACATCTATACAATCCCAGCCAACACCTTTTTGTTGTGTACAAAAGAACAGGATATATGAAACTAAAGGTTTTGGAATATGAGAAAAATAAAATGGATTGGATGTTCACAGATTCTAGAAAAGCATGAAGCTCCTCCATTTGTCTTATACGGGATAAGAAAATTGACGGAAGACTTTAGAAGCTCTAGAAAATTAGATTCACATCTAGATGGGCAGAAGTTATTAAAATCAGATGCCAAGACACAGGAATTTGAGATGATTAAGAAGACATAAAAGAGATTAGAGAAGCATACAACAACGACGCACCGCCTTTCGTGATTTCTCTTTAAATTGAATCATTTTATTGAGCCAACCAATGGGTGTGGCAGCACTCAAAAGCCACATCAATTCTACATGAGCAGCAACATGAGACTGTACAAAGACTGAGGCCTGTGCACAGAGAGACCTAAGTCAGAGCCAAATGTTTGAATATTGTGGCAGCTAAACGCACAGGAAATATGGGCTTCCAAATTCTTAGAAAGCAGAAAAACCAACCTTAGAAGGGTCCACACCACATGCCAAATAAAGAGCTGCTGTGTCTTTTGTTGCTTTTAGTAATTGTGGTGCATCATATGGCAAAGTTATCTGCAAAGTCATCAATAAATCTGAAACACAAGTATCTCTACTGAGCTTAGTCAAGATTATTTAAAATTAAATTTAAAAGAAGAAGAAGCTAAACTAAACTACTAGTATCATTATTATTATGGAGGAGAGATTCTCTAATGGAAAAAAAAAATATTATTACAAATAAGATGGAAGAACTCTACTCAACGCAAGACTTTTAGCAACTTCCCCAGGGTAAATTTCTAATTATAGAAATAAAGAAATAAATGAAAACAACCTTTTAGAGAGAAGTTGAAAGGAGCTAGATTCTGTAAAAATATGTAAAAGGCTTAAAGGAGCATGATTCTATAAAAATATGTAATTCAAATTTTCAAAGTAAAAGTTTCTCTTTTTTCCACAACTACTTAACTAGTTTCCTTTCTCCCTCTTAAAGAAGGAATAACACACCTCATGCCCAAGCCCTATGTGTGGGTACCACAGGAAGGGACGAAGGGTAGAAGCATAGTTACATACACGTGCTAATGAACTATGCATATGCAAGGACTATTTATAACCTTACAGAAATTTTAGTACCAACACTTCTCACACAAAATTCAAACACTCAGCTAGCCCTGGTTTTACTTTGTTGAATGAAACTTCAAGTTATTGTAACCAGGATCTTTATGAGCCCAAATTGGACATGTAAATACTTCTTAATAATCCAACATCATTACTTCATTAGAGGAGATAAATTTCAGCATAACTATGTCCATCGACTCCATCTATTACAACATTGATTTCAACAATTCAACATAAACCAGTTCAAAACCTAATCAAGGCAGAAAGATTAATAGCAGCAATTTCATAATTCTTCCATATAAATTGTAGATATCTCACTTCTGGAATTGTGAAACAGTGAAAGAAATGTTATTCCACAAAAAATGGAAAAAAGATGCAGTAACAATGTAAATAAGAACATGGTCAACTAATTAAGCATACCGCATGAAGGTCTACAATGAAGAAGAAAGTGTCATACTTATCCTGCATAGAGCAAATTTTAGGACAAGAGATCAAAAGTAGTAAGCAAACATTACGTTTAAAAGATTTAAGGAAAAATGTTTCAATAGTTTCAATAAAATGAAACAGCAGTTATATCCATGTAATCAATCCTCCAAAATTTTATGGCAGATAAGCAGATTCAATCCATTGAATGGAACAAGCATCTCCACTTCCATTCAATTCATCTTTCTACATATACCTCATCATTAGTATACACACTTATACATGCTACAGATGATATTAGTTATTAAAAGAGATTTGAAGCACATCGTCCTCTACTCCTCTCAACTCTCAAGACAAACAAGGCATCACCAACATTACATAACAAGTCACCAACTGATCACTCACAAGAACTTGAAGTCTGCTACAATAAACAGCCATGTACAACTAAAAATAATGTACTCAACAAGGCTAATTGAACATCATTGACCAGATGATCATGACCAGAAGAAAGCAGATGAGGAACACAAATAATTTTGGAGGAGCATTTAGTAACAACTACTATTAAATGAATTCATTATATTGAAGCAACTAAAATCCTTAGAATAGGAAATGAACAACCCATGTGTAGGTCCCAACAGGATTGCAATTAAGCTTTAGTTAAGTGGATTCGGTAGATCCAAAAATACGCAATCCATTCAAATGGAAATATAATTTGAACTCAAGACACGTAAGCTTAGAAAACTAGAAACTCAAATTTAGAGTATTAAGCATTATGAGTAATCATAATCACGAATTTTATCTATACATACATTATACATACATGATATGTGTGTGTATAAACAGCTCTACAAATGAACTCAAAGAAAATAAACAAATTAGGAGCAAATGCATAAAAGTTATACATTATTTTTTTTGTGCAAATAAATAACTCCATCTAATAATCATTGACTATAAAATTATCTGGCATGTTAGTGACAAACCTGCAACTGAATCCAATTTTTAATGGCACCAAGATAATTCCCAAGGTGTATAGATCCCGTTGGCTGTACACCAGAGACTATTCTCTTCCTATTACAATTAGCAAAATAAAACTAGAATTACTAAATAATTAGGATTTTAATGACTGCAAATCATCATTTTCCAATATTTCCATGTTCAATCACATGTTAATATTTTAATTAAATATATAACGATGAAGTCCCATGCTCAACAACGATAGGCATTAACTACTAATCTCTTTACACAAAAGTTTCAGTTATATTAACTTCCTCAATGCCACAGAAAGCAGAGGTAACACCATATTAACTTTGAGTGGGGTCAACTTCATATTTTCCTTCAACTTAGAGTAGCGCCATGAAGAAAAGGAATGTTTAAAATAACAATAAACTCAATAAACCAAATCAAGAGAAGCTCAATGACCTGAAAGATATAGAATAGATTTTCATTTTCCTTTTTTGTTTAATTTCTCAAGCCAAATCCACACTCTAATTATTAGCAACAATCTTTTATGTGCTCTGTATCAATTAAACTTCAGTGTTTTTTTTTTTTTTTTTTTTAAGTTCTAACTTGACAAAACTGCCAATAATTGCAAACTAGATTGTTAGCTTGGACGCCCTGGCAATAGCCATTAAACTTGAGGAAAATATAATGTTAAAGTAATTCTAAATACTTTTCATTAAACTTCATATATCCGTAGAAAAAATTCAAAATGTCATTACTTTACAGAGGTCGGAGGATTCTCGAAAACCGAAGGTTCGGAGACGGCAACGCTGCAACGGCACCGGAAACTTTGAGCACGAATCTGAGGAATTAATCGTGGCCCCCTTAACCTGCTCCAGAAATACCCGATTTTACACAAATACGCAATGATATATAAACAGAAATAAGTAAATAAAAATAGACATTACACTGAAGAAGCGAAGCAAGGAGCAGTATTGTTGAGGATAAGGAGATGGGAGAGAAGAGAGCGTCCCATTGATGCTGTGGCCTGTGAGCTCGACAAACTTAGGTGGCAAATTTGAACCCGTAATTTGTATCTTATCGGGTTTGGGTTAACGGATTTTAGATATAACTGAAGCCATTTAAAGCCCAACTAGTTGAACCGGGCAAAAAATAAAATAAAATTGGAGGATTAAAATAAAATAACGAAAAAGACAAACCTCCGAATTCAGGAGTTCGATGCTGGCCTTTAGAGAGCTCTATTTGGACTTCTTCAAACTCTATACCATTTGCCCACACAGTTCAACATTAATTTTTACACAAATTAAACCAAAAAAGTGATATGATTCGAACAAAAAATGGAAATTAAATCCTCCAAGGCTGCTAGATTGTGGAGTTATAGCAAGAGGGAAGAGGAGAATCTTAGTTGCAGAAAATGAGAAGAGCCCGAGAAGGCTGGGACATACGATCAACATACAGTTTCAACGTCATCTCTTCTCTCTCAGCTAGATCCCTCTCCGGCGGCGGACGGCGATAACTGACTCGGAGATTTGGATATTTTGAAATTGTGGCGTTCGATTGCGGGAACGACGGACGAGTATAGCAACCCGCAACCTGACTTTTGTGTTTTGAGCAATGGTGAGAGTGTGAGACCCATCGCAAATTATGCCTTGGACCCAGGTCCACAATGTATTGTGGACACGAGTTCAAAACGACGTCGTTTTCAGGAAAAATGCGTCATTTCAGTTTTTAAAAAAATTAATTCTATTTCGGCGTTAATGGCGTTATTAGTTTGTGTCATTATGAATGTACAGTTATGGAATTATGAATGTAAGTTATAAAATTATGAACACAGAGCTCTAATATTATGAACTTACAATTATGAACATATAGTGATGAAATTATGAACATAGAGCTCTAAAATTGTGAACATGGAGTTTCGAAAATTATGAATTTACAGTTATTGAATTATGAATGTACAGTTACGGAATTATGAATGTATAGTTATGCAATTATGAATGTATAGTTATGGAATTATGAATGTACAGTTATGGAATTATGAACACAGAGCTCTGACATTATGAACTTACAATATGAACATATAGTGATAAAATTATGAACATAGAGCTCTAAAATTGTGAACATAGAGTTTCAAAAATTATGAATTTACAGTTATTGAATTATGAATGTACAATTACGGAATTATGAATGTACAGTTAAGCAATTATGAATATACAGTTATGCAATTTGAACACAGAGCTCTAACATTATAAACTTACAATTATGAACATATAGTGATAAAATTATGAACATATACTCCTATTACAAAGTGATCTAAAATTTAAAAAGAAAAAAAAAAAAAGTGGAAGAAAACGGTGTCACTACGTTACCGTGTCCAGCATGCATACTGGACATGGGTCCATAGCATAACGATTGGAGACCCATTGATGTGATGGTTGTCTGTAAAATAATATTTTCAGTCAAAAATACTCTCTCCGACTCATTTTATGTGTTCAGTTAAGAGGTTTGATTAGAGTTATTTATAATTTAAAGAAATAAAGGTCAAATAGGCCATCGAACTACACATCAAATTTTAATTAGGCCATCCAACTCAAAAAAGCAACAAACAGGTCCCTGAACGTTACAAATTCAAGCAATTGAACCTAAAGTGACTTGCTGAACAGGTAAATAGATGACGTGGCGGTTATTAAATTATTTTTATTTTAAAAACTTATTTTAATAATTCTTAAATAATAAAAGTTTTGAAAACAAAACAAACAAAAAAACCAAAAAAAAAAAAAGGGAAAACGTCGAAAATTTACATCAAACAAAAAAAATTCGTCGTTCTCCTACAGTTTGCCGTTAACAATGGAGCTTCCTTTTCCGGTGATGGAGACGGATCAACGGCAACGAAGGCACGCCGCTATGGACCGTCGTGTTCTGCAAATCGTCAGCCGGATGGTTCGACGCGGCTGAGTGCGGGCAGATGGCGGCGGTGTTGGCGTTGGCGTTAGTCGAGGCGGAGCTGGGTTTATTTTTCCCGGTTACGACTCTTCTGCTGTCTTCCTTCTCAGACGACGCCGGCAACCATTCTCGGCTATTCGTCGCTGCTCCGCTGGATTAGGCCGGTGGCGATGTCGGCGGTGAAAATGAGGGTGATGCTGACTGCTGAGATCAAGATTGCAGTAACATATAAGAGACAGCCGAAGAAGAAGGGGAGTGGGTCGCCGGTGGTTTTTCCTTTCCTTTTTTTTTTTTTTTTTTTTTTTAGTTTTTTTATTTAAAAATTATTAAAATAAATTTTTAAAATAAAAATTAATTTGATAACTGCCATGTCATCTAATTATTGGGTCAACAGGTCACTTTAGATTGAATTGCTTGAATTTGCGCCGTTGAGGGACCTAATTGTAGCTTTTTTGAGTCGGATGGCCTAATTGCAATTTAGTTTGTAGTTCGATGGCCTATTTGACCCTTATTCCTAATTTAAAATTAGTAAGTAAAATTTATATAGTTAAAAAGTAATATATTACGTCGAGTTTAAAAATTAAAATATTATACATTATATTTTAGAAAATTGTAATTTATGCACATTCATAATATGCCAATGAGTAAATATCCAAAATTGTCACTCGACTATAGCTAAATTCACAAATTGGTCATCGACTTTCAATTTCAACCAATTAAGTCCTTAACTTTGCAATATTGACACGATTTGGTCCTCCATCTATTTGATCGTTTGTTGACCACGATTTTTGAGGATATATATGTAGTTTCACGTGCAAAGCTCAAGAGAACGCTCTTGGAGGTGACATCGTTGTTTCGGATGGGAAGTGCTTCTCCGCTTGCTGCTTGGGGATCACGAGTGGGTTCAGCTTAGAGAGCGCTCTTGGAGGTGACAACGTCGTTTTGGAGGGGGGAAGTGCTTCTCTGCTTGCTGCTTGGGGATCCCGAGCCGGTTCAGCTTGCCTACATCGCTTGGAGTCACGGCTTTCTCGAAGAACCAGTCCAGAGACTTCGGCGATCTATCTATCAAAAACTATAATCTCTCCGGCATGGGGTGCAGTGCCGGCAGTGGATTCAAATGTAACAGTGCGCTCTAGAAATGCAACCGGAACCTTAAAAAATCGGCGATGGACCATGAAATTACATATATATCCTAAAAAAAACACAGTCAACAAACGGTCAAATAGACAAAGGACCAAATTGTGTTAAAATTGCAAAGTTAAGGACTTAATTGGTTGAAATTAAAAGTCGAGGACCAATTTGTGAATTTAGCTATAGTCGATGGACCATATTGGGTATTTACTCTATGTCAATTATCAATGTTACTCCTGAATTATAAGTGATGTAAATATTGCTCCTCAATTTTCAAAATGATAGTTATAATGTCCTCTCATAGTGTAATGTTGCCCCTTAATTTTTAAAACGGTACAAATATTGCCCCTCTCATACAGTACGAGAGGGGCAATATATGTACCGTTTTGAAAATTGAATGGAAATATTTACATCACTAATAATTCAAATGTAACATTAATAAGTAACAAATTATGAATGAGCATAAATTATAATTTTCCTTTATATTTTAATTTGACAAAATTGTCATCATTTTATTACAATTCTTTTAGTGTCCCGTCATAACTAATGAAAGAAAGTCATTTCATTTTTAAAAAAATTTAAATTTTTTTTTAGTACTATTGACTCTATTACATTGTAGTCAATATGACTTAAAAACACAAAGAATTAACACCGCTTTTACTAAGGCTCAACCTCATGACTTCCCATATGAAAGAATTACTACATGCCATCTGAGCACAAAGTGCCTGGCAAAAAAATAATTAATTAAAGTAAATATCATCACAATATAATCATACCATATTTAATAGTAATTATACATTAATTTTAATCCAAATTTATTGGCTCACGGGCTTAAATTATTTTCTTTTTTTCTCATTGTAAACAAAAATGATATTGCAATAATTAATTTATGATATTTATCAAATTGTACCTTTTTAAATATAAAATTTTCGCATGTTTAGGGGTTAAAAAATATTTTAAAATTATTTTTTATTAGTAAGTATTTTTATTTTTTAAAAATATTTTCCAACGAACTAAACACCCCATAGTCTCCCATCAAAAACTGATGAAGAAAAGTCATTTCATTAAGAAAATTAAAATTAATTATATTTATTTGTAACTGTATATTAATTTCATTTTGAAATCATTGGTTCACATATTTGAATTATTTTTTTTAATTATTATAAACAAAAATGATATTGTACTAATTAATTTATGATTTATCAAATTATATTTTTAAAAATATAAGATTTCTTATGAGGAGTTAAAATAATATTTTTAAATTATTTTTATTAGTAATTATTTTATTTTAAATACTTATAACATCTTTTAATATTAGGCTCAAACATTCACGTGCATAAAAATGTTTAGTTAGACTAATATATTCAAAAGATAGAGTCTAATAATGAAAATTAGAGTGTGTTTACCAGGGCCGTTCCAATAAAAATTGGGGTCCTGTGCAATATCATAATTTGGGTCCCTTTTTTTCAAGTAATTTCTATATATAATAATAGTTGTTCAAAAAATTGTGTCAAAAATTTAAAATATAAATATTATATAAAAAATATATCTAAAATTTTCATTAAAAAGTGACATGCGTCATGCACATTTAGACGCAAAATCATCCACCAAACTTTATATCAACTTCTTCCAAAATCTCTAAACAATTTTAGTTGTTTGCAAATGTATCAAATCAATTCACAATTAGGCTTGCACTGAATTCGTTGATCGAGATAGGGTTAGGGTTCGAAGCTTTGATAGACAGAGAAGAACAGGAAGCTGGTGAGAGAAAGGAATCCTTCAATAGTTTGAGACAAATTACGGTCCACACAGCTGTGTAGACCACTGTCTAAAATATCGTCGTGAATATTATGAGTAAAAATAATGTACATTATGTTTTAGAATAATGTAATTACGTGTTAGAATAATGTATATTATGTGTTAAAATAATGTACATTACGTGTTAGAATAATGAAACATCTGGGTAATATAATGTACGTTATGTTCTAAAATAATGTACATTATGTTTTAGAATAATGTACATTATGAGTTATAAAAAATATATGTTACAACGGGACGTGCGAAAAAATTAAAAAAAAAAAAAACGATGTCGTTTTTTGATCGTGGTCCACACAAAAATTATTCTTTATTCGATAAGTGGATTGTCAATTTGTTGGCAAATTATTGTGCGGACCATGGTC